CTGCAGAACAACCTATTGTTTAAAAAATCGTGATGGTTATTTTATATATATTTGAAAAAGAACAATCATAACAGGTAGTCGGGTATGGTGACAAAGCGTAACTTTTAGCTGGTTTTTTTTTTTCAAATAGACAAAATATAATTTTGACAAACAAAACAAATTATGATTCAGCTGGCCCAAGCACATCCTTAGATATATATCATTCAATTCCTGTGTTTTCACATTTTCAACTGCTAAACTTTAATTTTCACATATTTTCATCTTATTTATCTATGCAATGTATCAAAAGATGTATTTCACTTTTGATGTGATATTAAGAAGTTTAGTAGTTTAAAAGTGAGAAGTAGAGTTTAGGTGTTAGATATGGGAAATTTATATTCGTATTACGCAAATTTGATGTATTTGTGTTAACTAACATCTAAAATTTGATAATTACATTTCTAAATATTGGAGTTATAAAACTATACATTAAAAAAGTGTATTTTGACTTTTAGGAAAATTTTATGTTAAAAATTAATTAGTTTAAAAAAAACTGAATTATATTATACTAAGTAAAATTTATCATTCAATTAAGATCTTAAAAATAAAACAAAATAAATCAGATTATCTTGCAATATTTCTTTAATTTAGTTTTATGGATTATTTAATCTAATTAATCAAATGTAAGCTATTCGGCGATGCTAATGTGCCACTTTAGGGTGGCTATAGGCGCAACTTTGCCTGTCAGAAGAAAGATATGTAAGAATGATATAAGACTTTCGTCTGTCATTATTAATGAGAAAACCTAAGAAGAGTACATATAACTTCTGCTATCAGTTAGTCTTTCTGCTCTTTAGCAAAACTAATTTATGATATATCTTAATTTGTATAATGCTTTTTAGGCCTGTTCTTTTGCATAAGCATTAATTGTAACTGATATATATGCTTCGTGAGTTTGTTTACAAAGGGGGGCATTAGTATTTCTATTTTTTTTTTTTATTTCTATGTTAATTAGATATAAATGAAACATTTACTGATTAAAATGCTAAAACCTTTCTTGAAAATTGAAAACATAAGATTTAGAGGTTGAGAAAACTTTGATTTTCGAATAACTAAAATTATTTTTGGCTGTAGTGTTCTGTTGTTTATTTTCAGAACTTTCTATATAATGGAAAATTCTTTTTACAGATATGATATTATAAGATCTATGCTTTTGTCAAAAGAGAAAAAAAACTTAATATAATCGTGTCTGTTTAATTCAAAAGTGTACCGGAAACACATTCAAGGAATGAAACATTCTGCCAGGAAGTGACTAAGAGAGAGAGAGCTAGAGCGGTAGTAGGAAAAAAAGAGTGTCTTATTCATTACATGAACCCTTATTTATAGGCTTAGATCCTAATATTACAAAAGTATGTATTATACCCTTTATTATTAACTTTTCAGGAGGGAATTTTTGGTAATTACGAGTTATTTGTGTATAATAAGATTAAGGGTCCATTCGATCGATGAGGGTTGGCGATCGCATAACAAGCCTTGATTCTATTGATATATAGTCCGAAAGAGTACTCCCCGTCGATCGTCCTGAATGTTGATTACTGCCCTACGAGAGTTTCTCATGGCACCTTCTGCTCAGCATTCGAATAAGGTGATCCCCTCGCCAATATTCTTCTAGGAATAATCGTCGAACGCTACACTCGATAGTCTGCATTTTCGTCATAAGCTGCCCATCTGGTTTGAGTTTCATCCTCTCATAATTTTATATGCATAGCATCATTTTTTTTTTTTTTGAAAAAAAAATTTATTCATATGGATTGGACACTATTTGGCTAGCTATGCGAAGTTCTTAGGTTCAAAATTTCATTGGACATGCAATCAACTTGTATTTTATATTATCTGAGTTTTATTGAAGTTACAAGCAGATGAGAGAGCTACGTGGTTGAAAATCATGTGGAGGAGAATGGTAGAGAAAAGATGATGTTTTGGATGAGCAGAATGACAGGTTGGGATGGAGATTCCTATCCATCAGAAAAAAAGGATAAAGTAATATTTTTAAACATTCCTTTTTTTTCTTAACTTTATTGAGTTGTTATATTACTGATCTTCAAAACTCTGTCTCTTCAATTTTTATTTTTATTCTGTTTAAATTCATGCACATGACACTCTTACATGTCAGAACTTAAATTCAACGCTTCGTAGTTAAAGACAAAGCACAAGGGCCAAATGGTATGCAAAGAGAGAGATCTTTTAAAAAACACTATATTCTCTCAATACCAAAGAAAAAAACTAATGAGGCATTTACATGCCACCCAATTTCTATATATATATATATATATATATATGCCACCGTAGTTATGCATAAAAACATGTGTTAAAAGTTAAAATAGTTGTATTTTTTATGATAGCTTTTGGTAGCTCAACTGTAAAACTTGAAGTTTAGGTTTTAGATGTGTAAATACATAAGAATCGGGTGGTTTGTATGTAATAATATTAACCTTAGCAGTTGTTGCCGTAATCTAAGCATTCAAGCTGCTAAGATTGTGGAGCATTGGCTCTCAGGTACAAATTCCAGGATGGTATGATATATCTGACACTTAAAAATTAAAAAATAGGGCATTTTTACGTACCAACCTGTAAATCCTTAAATATATCATTTTGGCCATCTAAATATAAAATTTACATCTCAACCCACCCAAAATTTTCGTTTTGGTGCTCAATCCTTTATATTTAAAATTTTATGCGATTGATTTGTAAAAAACCCAAAAAAATAAACAAATAAATAACTGCCATTAAGAAAATCAATCCATTTTAAATGATAATAAAATAAAAAATTTTCAATACTGAAACAGCTTATAACAGCATTTTAAAGTAATAGTTGTTAGGTATGACTCATATACCAGAATTTAGAGTCTCTTGAAGTGAAGAGATGTGTCTCTTGAAATGAAGATGCGTGTCTCTTGGAGATAAGTGGGTTGGGGGAGCGATGGCGTGTTAGTAATTTTATCTGTAGGTTTTATCTATATATATGATGTGTAACCCTATGGGTATGTAATTGACTTCTCTGAAATAATGAAATTCACCGCTCTGCTCCCGATGACGTAGGCATCTTTACAGAATCTCATTAAATCTTTGTATTCTTCTGATTTTGTGTCGATTATTGCTTTTCTTCACCCTAAATTTCTCAACAATAGTTATTACTTAAATGAGATGCGCGACACTTAGAAAAAACAATTAAGATGTGCAAAAAAGCATTAATGAAAAAGTGTATCAGACATGCTAAAAATAAATAATTTTTTTTTTTTTTTTTTTTTTTTTTGCTTATTTAGAGAACTAAACATCTTAAATGATGTTGGGATAGAATGCTGTAAAAGTACTAGAGTTCCACGTTATTATTATTTGTAGAATTAAGTGTGCTACACAAATGAACAAAATTGCTTGAACCAGCGGTCAGCAGTTTGAGGAAGAAAACAACTAGCTTTATTAATAACTTCTTAGTTAAAAATGTTTGTAGACTATTAATGCTGCCAGAATTCATTGCTATAGCTCATTTAAAGTTAACATATATTATAATTTATCCTTTTTTTTTTCATAATTGATGGCTTAATGAGTTGTCTGTCATTGAGAAATTTGAGTAAATTTTGTTAAAATTTAGTTTAATTGCAATTCAGATGTTAAAAGCTCATTAAGTTATTAAAGAAAAAATCTTAAAGCTTTCACCTCTCTCCCCACATTGAAAGTGCTTCTAGCATGCAGCATTTTTTTGAATACTAGCATTTGAATTTCTTCTAGAAATAAATGCAATTAAATGGAAAGAAATATCTTCTCCGATAATCATATTTATACCCTATTGTATTCTTATGTCCGAAAAACGAGTCGGTCAAATGCTTTTTTATCAGTTATGATTGATGCATGTCAGGAGGTCTGTGATAGTAGAGTGATTATTTCAAGTCTTAGCGTTCTATGAAAATCCAACACACTCGAGTAAAAGAGAAGTAAACAGAAGGAGACGCATCTATTTAGAAAAAGTGCAAAAAACTAAGGGGTCTGTTCCAATTGAAATAATCGACTAAGTAATTTTGAGTGTATAAGTCCGCTCTTTTCTAGAATTTGAGTAAATAAAATTACAAAATTGATATACTGTGGTATTTCAACAATAATTAATATTTATAACGGCCTGCTAAAGCCGTAGTTGATGGCTATGAAGGCAGTGCCTATACATGAATGTTGTTGATGGTGGTGTAGCTCCAACTTGTCGTAGAGGTCGTAAATGCATGTCATGGCAAAAGCTAGCTAAGTAGGTCATGGATGGTTACTTCAGGAACGTTAGTTGGCTATAAAGGTCGTAGTAGTGAGTTGCAGAAGCCGTGAGTTACGTAGGTCGTTGTTGGTGATATAGACCATAGTGGTAAATTATGATGATGTCCGTAGGCCGTAGAACCCAAAGTTGATTGTCAAAAGGGTTGCATGTCACATATATTTTAGTTGGTCACGTAGGTCATAATAATGCGTTCTAATGATGTTTGTAGACCGAAACCGTAGAACCCAAAGTTGATTGTCAAAAGGGTTGCAGATCACATATATTGTAGTTGGTCAAGTAGGTCATAATAATGCGTTCTAATGATGTTCGTAGACCGAATGAACTGGAGTTAGAAGTTGCTCTAGCTATGAGCCACATAGGTCATATTTGGTCACCTCGGCCATAATGGTAATTTTCAATGATGTCCGTAGGCTACAAGTGTCACAGTCAAGAGTTTCATAAGCTGTGACTCACATAAATCATAATTAGTCACGTAGGCAATAGTGGTCGGTTGTGATGACATCACGTAGGCTGTAGTGGTCAAAAATTGCTACATGAGCCTGTAACTTTGTTTAAGGTGCCAATTAACTTTTTATTTTATAGGGCAATCATGAGAACCATTTTGATTGTGTGTTAAATCAGGCAAATTTTATGCCAATGCCCTTCATTTCAAGTTATCTTTGCTGCCTTTGAATGGAGCCTCTTAATATATTATTTGCCTATTTGGTGAAGGAATTTGGGTTTCTAAACTATGTTATTTATTTAACTTGGAAGTTTCTTTTATCCTTAAAATTGCCCAAACCCTGCTTTGAGAGAGAGAGAGCGAGAGAGACATACAAAATCCTAGTGGGAGCGACGATGGAAGATCGAACGGAGGACACGGTGGCCGCCGCCGTGAAGAAGGAATCCATGGCGAAGTTGTGCCGGCGGTGCAAGGCCCTCTACTATCCAGCCTCCAACACGCCCTCTTCTTGTCGGTTTCACGTTTCCTTCTTCGTTTGCCGAAAGCACGACGACCAAAAGAGGTCTCTCTCTTCTCTTTCTCTTCATTGATATTTGCTTTAGGTATTTACAATTAATGGAATAAAGGAAGTGTTTGAATGACGACTTTAGGGCTCTTCAGAATTGGGTATTAGATTGAGCAGCTTTTTTCTGTTTGAAGGTGAAGTTATTTTCTATTGACGACGGAGTGATTTTGTGCTTTTTAATTGAGGTGGATGGGACCGGGGATGCTCATTATGTTCCAATCTTCAATAAAAATCTATGTTTTAGTGGAAAATCTAATTTTGAATAAAAACCAAATTGATATTACCTTCAAAATGCGTTGTATCGCAGAAAGAAATTTGGAACAATTTTAAACGATTTGGTATTTATGGACCAACCTATTGGGATGCAAATTGCGAAATCGATTCTAGATATTCGAAGCAAAACTTTGATCAGAAGAGTAAAAAGTAAGAAAACACAGAAAAACCAAATTTAACGGGGAGAAACAGAGAGAAGAAAACCACGGAATCATACCACACCAAGAAATTCATAATCAAGCAAAAATGAGGACAATAATATAAATTACACCAAATTCAAGCCCGTTTACACTTTGGACACCCATGAATATTTGCACTCCCACTCCTTGCACCAGAGAGTACAACATCCCTAGTGAAAAATTGCAGAATGTGCAATAAAAAATCACTAATTACTCTCTCCAGGCCTTCTTGTATCATTCTTCATGTTAACTACAAAAAAAATCTTTAAATTCTGCAAAATTTCTCCTGATCTGTTCGTAGCATTGTGGCGCCATGATGTAGTGCTTAGACGCAACTATTGCAGCACTGTGGCACTCTAATGTGTCGTTGTGGCATCATACTCTCGGGTTCACCGCCAAGCTTGATCGAGGAAATTGAGGCTCTGAATTGACAATTGATCGACACAATCAGTATCCTCCGCATAATAATATTATCATTGTCTTAAGCGCGCAAATCAGGTTCACCAGTTGAGTTATAAGAGTCAATGTGCTGCATGTCATTTTGATCAGTAATGGTAGAGTTAGATGCATATAAACTTTGAGACATGCAAATGTTCATTGATGCCTTGGTGGATCACCATGAATGCCAAGACTATATATTAGGCTTATTCATGTGAGCTCATCAGGATTTGTCAAACTAAGGTGTTTCTTTAATTTTTGTTTATTGCTTGAAAATACTATAAGCATAACTATAAGCCTTAGAATTTGCTCTAAGATTTTGTCAATCAAGCCTTAGTGCATTGGCAACTTGGCCTTCAACTGACTAAATTTATTGGGCCAAATTTGCTTGTGAACTTTACAAATTGCTTTGGGAAAAGGTTTGACTGTTTAAAGCTTTGTTCGATTGGCTCCTTGCAAAACTTTGGCTATTTTAATCCTTCTTCTTCCTTATACATCTCTTACGAAGATCCCACTCCATGTAAACTAGAGTTGTAAGGTTAGAATGCTATTCAACCTTGTAAAATAATTTTATTGAATTAATTCTCAAGGTTGGGGTTAGGGAATTCATGTAGTTTATTTCTTGATGGATTTAATTCTCGCTTTTTCTTATCATATATGCATTAAACTGATGTGGGACTACCTTCGGCTGTGGCATTTAGTTCCAATGCAATTCAGGCTCGTCTTTGTTCTCTTACCTTTGTTTTGAATTTTTAATTACATAAGGTGATGTGAACTTATAGATTAATCTTGTGTCAACATTTTCTACTTAATTAGATTATGAGTCTACAAACAGTAATATAAGCCTAAGGTATATAATTTAAATTTTTGTTTTTTTTTCCTTTTCCAGTTTTCAATTATGTAAGTGTAAGTTGGATGTGTGATTTCTCTGAGGGCGGCGTTAGTCCTTACGCAGGCTTAATGTTTGATTATTCTTATTTTGGTAAATTTGTTCCTAGATGCATTTTGTGCACATAATTTATTTTTAGCTTGCTTAATACTATTAATTTTGATCAAATCAAAATGTGCCGTGTTTTTTTTTTTTTTTTTGTTTAATACTCGTTAGTTTTGATCAATGTCCATAATTTGATTAGTGAAAATTAATATGTTTAGTCATTAATACTATTATGATTCTTTAAAATTTTCACATTGAGTGAGTTTTTTGAATTAATTGATTACTTCTAATATGTGAATCAACAATTGCATTTGCATAAAATCCAACAAAAATCTATCTGAGTGGGGTTGAATTGCCAACAGTAAGGTCCCAAACCGTCCTTGGATGTATTTCCTTGCATTAATTGAAGAATTCAGTCGTTCAATTTACTATGCATTTGAATGCTGAGTTAATCAATATGAACCATATTCCCTCATTTATGTTTATTTCTTAATTATTTTGTGCTTTTGAAGGTACTATGAACTTGACCCAGAAGATCCACCATACGCGGCCAAATTCTATGACTGCTGTGGAGCTGAAGACCCAGATGCAGCAGGTTGCAGAACTGATTTCCATTCATCATATGACGACGATTAATCTTTATAGAACATGTAAATTTTCTGTATGTTATACCACTGCTATTAAAATTGCATAATTTGAACCACTTCAAAATCTGCACTCTTCACATTTAGAATGTGGTATTTTATAAATTTAAAGCTTTTTGAAAAACATTCAGATTTTTCTTGTATTATATTGTTGATTATCCAGTCTTACTTCTCTGCTTATCAGTTGGTTTAGCACGTTGAATAAATTTAAAGAAATTATGTTGTGATCTCTGTGAAATTATTTGTTGAGGCTCAACTGTTATTTAGATATTACATGCCTTTAATTTCATTGTGAACAAGTTTTAGTGCTTAAGAGACTCTGCAACTGCCTTTCTATGGTCTTGAAATCATGGAAAGAATATATGCTGTGAGGATTTATGGCACTTTTTTTTGCAATAAAAGAAACCTTTCTTTTCTTTATTTTTTATTTTTTATTTTTATTTTTTTTTTTTGAAAAATGGAAGATTTGCAGACATACAACCCAATTCCTATGTATTTAGATATATGATGCTTGAACTTTACTATTTACATTTATTATGTTTGATTGGTTGCATGTGTTATATCTAGTGAAATTTAGATTTATTATTTTTTTTAAGCAATTAAATTTCTTGGATAGAAAAAGGTCGATTTCAAGATAATTTAATGCATATTAAATATATGAGAATTAAGTCCATCTAAAATCTTAAAATTATGTTTGAATTTCTTAATAATTCTTGAACTGTAGATGATAATTAGATAGCTTGATTGCTATTTTTGAAGTTAGGGTGAGAAAATAAGAGATAAGCTATTTCCAAGCATTAATAAATCTTGAAGTGTTGTGAGAGCATTGGAGTTGCGCGCTTACCCGTGATATAGTGATTGAGCGTATAATTTTTCATGTTGCCTCGCCCTTTCCGTTCATCTTTCTCGGAAAAAAAAAGCTTTCGAGTTACCTTGCTATTTTTCTCCAACCAAAAGTAGGTTTGTGGAATTAGCTTGAAAATCGTTAATCCCTCAAGTTGAAATAAACGAGCGAGTTGTGATTGGAATCAGTTTTTTTTTTAACCAATTTCGAGCCGACCCCAACTCGAGGGTCATCTCAAAATCGGATCTACAATAGCACTAGTGATGTTAGGACAATAAATTTAGCGAATTCAGCTCATAGATCATTAATCGCTTGAAAATATATTCGAATTTTGTCTCTAATCGTGATCGAATTGAAATAAATGAGCCAAGCCGCAAGCCAAAATTTTAGATCTAATTTTTTTCAAGCTGACCTTAGTCAGCTCGGAATAGATCCCTAACCATAAACTCCTTTTTCAAAGCCACCTTAATTACTTACAAATTAATATTTAAAATTAAATTACCTACCCATAAAAAAAATTCCAGAATAACCATTATTAGCGCTTCAATGGTAAAAATTTGGATTTTGAGCTTAAAAATATTTTTAGGGAAGTTGAGCTCTAATGGAAATTAAATTAGAAATTAGTTATTAAAAATTTAGAATTCTTCAGCTAATGCCTCCAAGTATGCACAATCTCAAACCAAACAAATATGGAATGCCTTCATTTTTATTTTTATTTTTATTTTTTTCCCGGCAAATCATCAGTCGTTCTACTCACTTTATTTATTATTATTTTTTTTTTCCTGACAAATCTACAATCTACATCAAATTTAATTCAATGAAAAAAAAAGCCACTTTAAAAAAAAAACCCCACTGTTTCCCAGGAGAAAATATTTTATCCGGACACCGCACATCCGGACAGTTAACCATAGGGCACCGCATCGTCAAATTCAATGAAAAAAAAAGCCACTTTAAAAAAAAAAACCCACACTGTTTCCCAGGAGAAAATATTTTGTCCGGACACCGCACATCCGAACGGTTAACCATAGGGCACCGCATCGTCATACACTTCATCGACGGTCAACATTACGCTCGGTGGTTAGCAGTCCAGACGTGAGAGCGTTTTGATTCCTAAACAGTAATCATTAATAAATGGAAAAAAAAAACAATAAAATTGCAGAAATCAATCAGAACTCCAAAGAATAGGTCCATCAACAAATCAAATGTTTGCACAAATTGGGTTAATAAATGCAGCTTTAATCTTAAAAATTACATAAAACTTATTCTTATGATTCAAATCAAAACGAACTCACTATCAAATGAAGATAATCTAACAAAATTCCAACCCTATTCTCTCTAACCAAAGCTTGATTTGGTAATCTCATACGCCAAGAAACAAGCAGCATTGGCAGGAACACTTCTAGCCATAGCAGGACCAAACCCTTTGTACAATCCTTTGACACCTTCCGTAGCCAAAATCTTCTTGAAGGCGTCAATAGATCCAGAAAACTTCGGGTTTCGATAGTCATCAACCTGTATCACACTCTTAATGACATCCGTCGGATAAACTAAAGCCCAGAAAGATGCTCCGGCCAATCCTCCGGCCACCATCAGCGAACCACGACCGAGCCCTGAGGTGTCCGGGCCGCCGGCCATGCTCTTCTTGAGGGCTTCATAGACGCCAAACATGATAGCGTTTCCGGGGACCTCTCGTGCTAAGGTAGGAACCACACCTTTGAATAAGCCTCTCAGACCACCTTCGGATCTCAGAACATGCCTTGCCACGTCCATGGGTCCGCCATATTTAACGTGGCCTGTAGCAGATGTGGATGATAAAGCACTCTGTGCCTGCAATCTGCTTCCTAGAGTGAGTAGAAGCAAACAAATAGGGGAATTGGGACATTTACATAACACACCGCCAAATTCTATGTATTTAAATATCTAACACCTACACTTTAATTTTTTACATTTACACCACCCAAAATTTTCATATCACATAAAACATACACGACCCTTTTAACTTTCAAAAAGTGAAATACACCTTTCCATGCATAGGAAAGGTGGCATGCATGTAAAAATTGAGATTTAGATGTTAGATATGTAAAAACATATGAATTCTGAGGCATGTATGTAAATCTTCCTACATTTAAATGTGGAATAACTGGTTTTTTCAAAAGCATAACATTAGCACAGGAAGCCTTACTACTTCGGGATTTGAAAGGATAGGTATAACTGCAAAAAGTAAAAAAGTTGAGAGAGAAACACTTGGTAAAAAAAATTCAAGAGTATGGTATGATATTTGAATGCGACTCTATGCCCTTTCACAATTCCTTATCAAGCAAATACAGTAAAAGAAATCACACGTACCACATGGTGCAGATGTTTCGAAGTTGCTTGATATGTTAAATAAACACAATATGCCAAAATTCTACTGTAAACGTCGATCATACACACAAATGATTAATCCTATCCATCCAATTTGTCTCTTTCTCAGCTGGCCCGAAAGCCATACAAGGATGGTTAGATCAGATGTTAATCAGAAGGTGATCTCATGGCAATTTTACTACTAATTATGTTTGAAACTTTGAAGAAAGATTTAAATACATACCATGCAAATTCCATGTATTCACATATCTAACACCTAAACTTCAATCTTTACATACCTGCCACCTTACCAATGCATTGAAATTAAAACTTGAAATGATACTATTTTTTATATGATCTAAAAAATTTGGGCGGCATGTAAAAAAGCAAAATTTAGGTGTTGCATATGTAAATATATAAAAATTGGTGGTATTTATATAAATGCCCCAACTTTAAAATGTCTGAACATTTGAGGAGCCACATATTTTATTAAGGAAAAAAAAAAAGATTGTGACAGCAAAAAGAAGCAACCATTACTCACCTGCACTTAATTAGTTCCGTTGGGCAAGCTAGAATTGAAACTGCAACTCCAGCACCAGCGCCACATATGATCTGCTGCTGAACTGTGAGAGGGACGCCAGATTCAGACCTCAGTAAAGCCTCCATTTGTCCTCTCACGGTAAACAAGACGGCGTTGAAAGCTGCAACAGTGGCAAGAGGAGCTCCCATCCCTTTGTATAAACCTCTTGGGCCTTCTGCTGCAATTGTCTGCTTAACAGCATCCATTGCTCCAGAAAACTTGAGCACTTGTCCGGGAAGTGGGGCTGGCTGGCTTTGGAGCTTTACTTTTACTGTGTCAAAAGGGTGCCCAACAATCAATTGTGCTGCACCTCCCATAGTACCAGAAGTTAAATCCTTGACCACATCTGCCATCTGAAGTACTAGCAGTAATCAGCAATTATTTAACAAATATATAAATAAATTTTAAAATAAACCTTAAAATTTTGTTAAATTATTTCAAAAATAATTACTCCGCATTTTATAATATTAAACAAACTCAAATATTATAAGTATGGTAATATTAAATAAACCACAACTTATCATGCTGAAATTTATATTATTTAATGCATAAAAATTTATGGGTGAAAAATCATCTTAACGTTAAAAAAAAATCTATCATATAGTGAAAAAATATTTTTTATATAATCCTAAATAATATTTTTACTTTAACCATAAAAGGTCCCATTTACATACATAACACCCAATTCCAATGAATTCACACATCTAACACCTAAACTTTACTTTTTATATTTATACCACACAAATCTTTCATATCACAAAAAAACACTTCTAATTTTTAAAATGCGAAATACAGCTTTTTATGAATTATTAAGGAGGCATATATGTAAAATTTGAAGTTTAGATGTTAGAGATGTAACTGCATAGGAATTAAGTGGTATGTATGTAAATCATCCAGATAAATTTTAAAGAGAGAGAGAGAAGCTTTAAAACATCCCATCCAGTCATCTAATTGCCAACTTCTTCCAACGAAATCATTTAGTGCCTTCTAATAGCAAATGGAGGGATAGTTGGAGCTTAGATGGAAGTCACACCTCTTCGCCTTGTTGGCGACAATGATGTTCTAAGATTATTCATCAAAAAATTAGAACCAAAAGTCTTAGGCTAAAAGCCCTTAGATGAAATGCATTGGAGAGCCCATTCAAAGCAATAATCAAAGCATACCTCCAATGTAAAATTTTGCCTCTATTATTGATTGGTCATCTTCGTTTTCTCTACAGTAGAGCATAACAGCAATGAAGACGATGAGTTGTAAAAGTGAATAGGTTGAGCTCTATCCATGGTCTTTTGTTCAATACTTCGTCTTAGAAATGAAGGGAATTTTTGGGGTTTAGAGAATGTTTGGTGGATCTATCACAAAAAGACCATATTAAAGCGCACAATCAAACTGAGGGTTTCAAACCTAAGGTTTTTAAAAGTGTGGACTAATTTGAAGCGGTCCCTTAAGAAATGCAGGACCCGCGTATAATTTACCCAAAAAATTTAAGGTTGAAAAATAATTGAGAAAAAAGGTAGATCAATGATAAAATTGTTAAATGTCATGCAAAAAGATCTCCACAAATAGGTTTAATATTCATGTAACAGTCAACAGAAATGAATGAGAGGTAGAATTAATAAAGCCACCTTCATGTGATTGATGTAAGACTAATGATGATGGTGATAACATTGAGCACAAATTTAAAAAAAGAGTCTTAGAATCATGTTTACAATTGATGATGAATACTCTAAATTTAGACAACGCAGTCATTAGACCAAAGAGACATCTAGCACTCCATTATAAATCAACGACATAATGATATGAAAATGAAAAGAAAAAAATTCAGAAGGCCAAACACCTATCAAGAATCGGCTTCAAATAAATGACAACCGAAATTTGATTTCCAAGAAAAAAAGACAATAAAATTTTGATTTCTGATCAAATAAGAATTGCTCTCTACACCTTCGCGAGGTTTCTCTCTTTGACTTCAAAACTAAACAAAGAAAGAAAATAAGATAATTAACAATGTTTGATGCAAAACTACAATTTCATAAATGGGATCATTATGTGTTTAATGGCAAAACCAGTGCTAAAGTTATGATTAGCATCGCATAACATTGATCTTCATTCTTGGTTCTTAAACATCAATTCAACAACAGTTCAGTGACTGAAAATCCACACCTCTTAAATAAACTTATGGCCTGTTTAAATTTGCTATAGTTTTATGCCATTGGCAAAAATCGCCTATGTAGTTCTACTAAATCTTTAAAAATTAAATATTTTAAGAAAATTTTAATCCTATTCTATTGACATTTGGATGTAGCATAAATCAAGTGACATCAAGATGTCCAGCTATTTAACTTCTGAAGAAAAAACACAGCATGATAGGTAACATTGACATCTTATACTACAAGTATATAAAACTAAACCAAACAACCTTGTGCCTTAATTTGTGCATGAGAACTTAGGAAAAGATAATAATTTAAAAACAATTCGATTACATCTAAATGACATTCACAAATCAAGAACTTGTCTAGGATCAACACAGCCTAAATCATGGAAGAAATGATACAATCTAAATAATCAAACTAAAGGACGTGACGAGGAGAGGCATTGAAAGAGAAACACAGAACTCACCGTGTTTAAGTCTATTTTACATAAAAGGTTGCGCTTATCACAAGGCAGTCAATTTTATTAAGCAGAGGAATACCACAAGAGTGATCAACGACAAAGAAAAGAAATAAAGGGAGAGTGGGATGCGTCTGAGACAGATGAAGCAACAATGACTATCTGATTGGGTGAATTCATCTGCTGGGAGGAGACAAAAACAAACTTCAGATTTTACGATGAAATAGGGTTGGCAAAACAGAAAGAATCTTCTTCTCTCGACTGCATGAAATCCTCAATGATAAGTGTTGCAGAAATTTTCTGGGACGAACACAAACAGGAGTACTTGATCATATTCATGAAAGTTATTTTGAACAGTCAAAATTTGTATATATATCTATCTTTATATATATACGTGAATATAGATAGAGAGAGAGAAGGAGAGAGAATGATAAAGAGAGAATTGGTATGTTTGGAGAAAAATGGTGCTCCAAAGCCACAAAGCTGACATTTGGTTAGGGGCAAGTCTGCTCAAAATTTAATAATCAAATCGATTTACAAATTTTAAAGTCAGTTCACTAATTAAAACTCTCTCCCCTCTCTATTTATATATAAATTAAAAACAAATTTGGAACGACATTTCAAATTAAATTTTAATCAAATGAGTAATTAAATTATAGAGCATAATCTTTTATAAATATAATATAATATTATTGATTAGTTATATATGGTTACTAGTTCATTAATATTATTTCAAATATGTCCAATAGTGGGATTCTTTCATTCATTGTGTTGAGCATTGTATGAATTGTTAAACCAATTTTGTTGGATTTTTTTTGCATGAAATTTAATAAAGTTACAATAATTTACTAATTTTCTTCAACTCTAGAAATTCAATACACACCCTAAATGCTCAAAAGGCGAACTTAGCAGTCATGCACAAGGCAAACAGAGCTTAGTTTAGGATAGATTTATCAAGCCAAGCTCAAGATAGACTCGTTATCTGGGTTCGGAAAAAAAAACACGTCAACGAAATTTGAAGCAAATTTACCAGAGCGGATCAAGGCAAATATGCCAACCATGTTAAGGAAATACTTGCCCGCCTATATGAACTCATGAGACTTACAACAAACTTATCAAACTATGCAGCCTCAGGCCCTCAACAAAAGTTGTCAAATCCCATAAAAATAACATAATATTGGACAAGGTCTTAGTTTAAGGTTTTGAGAACTAAAATATAAAACCAGTATGGAAAAAATCACTAGGTTGAATGGAAAGCCGCAAAAGAAATGCAATGCTCGAAAGCAAAAATGAAAAAAAGGAAGAATTATGAGAGAGAGGATATTACCAAGTTTTAAAGAACAAGTTATGTTAACTCTATTAATAGGATTTGCATTAGCCAATAATTTTAAGAACTTCTCATCCTTTCTAATTATATTTATGATTACTGCATCAAGAAAACTGAAAGAGTTCAATTTCTTGAGCTTATAGAAAACAAAAATGTTAGTATATAATACAAATAAAATAAGTCATCTCACATAATTATGCCAGATCTATAGGTCTTTGGGCAGCATCCAATTTGCTTTCTTATTAAGTAACATATTAAATTAATATGCTACATAAATATAAAATGAACTTAATATAAAGATTATTTAAATTCTAGAGCAATAATTTCAATATAATAAAAGTTTTGTAATGTTACTATTTAACCATGTAATGTGAGTATTCAATCGTTTGAATTATGCTATGATTCCACTGCACCTTCTTATCGACTTCTTTGACTAGTTACTTACTAATATTGATATCAAATTGACGTTATTGTAGCTCTCCACTATGGTCTATGTGAAGAACTATAATCTATGTGACTCACTGTTACTATAGCTTTCAAATATGACTTTTGTAGCCAATTGACGTTATTGCAACTCCCCAATATGGTTAATGTGACCAACTATGGACTATGTGACTCACTACTATAATTTTCAACTACAACTTATGTGACTAATTGTTACTGCAGCTTCTCACTACAACCTATGTGACCAACTATGACCTATGTGGCTAACTGTTACTACAACTGTCCATTACGGACTATGTGACCATCTACGACCTATATGGCTAATTGTCACTGCAAATCCAAATTACAGCCTATGAGACCAACTATGACTAATGTGACTCACCGTTACTACAACTTCTAACCACGGTCTTTGTGACCAATTGACGTTATTGCAACTCCGCGCTACGGCTTATGTGACCAACTACGACCTATGTGGCTAATTGTTACTGCAACTCTCATTACGAACTATGCGGGGAACTACGACCTATGTGACTCACTGCTACTGCAACTTCCGACTACGATCTTTGTGGTCAATTGATGCTATTGCAGCTCCCGACTATGACCTATGTGATCAATTGATGTTATTGCAGCTCCTCACTACGACCCATATGACCAACTACGACCTATGTAGCTCATGGATACTGTAGCTTACAATTACAACCTTGGTGGTCAATTGGCGCTATTGCAGCTCCCCACTATGACATCTGTAATCAACTATGACCTATGTGATCAACTATGATCTATATGGCTCACTGTTACTGTAGCTTCCAACTATGGTTTGTGGCCAACTAGCGCTATTGTAGCTCCTCACTCTGACCTATGCGACCAACCACGACATATGTGAGAAATTGTAATTACAGCTACCAACTACGGTCTCTGTGATTAATCAATGCTCCTACTACTATCAATAAAGTTATATATAGCCAACTATTATTACAT